CCGCGCCCGGTCGACGAGGAAAAACGTCCGACTCCGTATAGAGGCTGAGGTACAAGCCCGACATATGGCTAAATCGCACAACATCGCTCAACAAACGAGACCGATCGATAGTGCCCGACGTGGACAACTACACCGAGCCCCACCGTCGTAGTACCTGTAAGGCAGAACACCCAGCTCGCGATGGCCAATTCACACCAAGGGCAAATAGTCCCTACCGGGCTTTGCGCCCGACTGAGCAACTTCGCTCCATATGCCCGACAAGTCGTCAAGAATGACGGGCCATCTAAAAGGGTCAAAAGGAAGCCTCTCCCCTCGAGTGCAACACTTAGGTGACTCTGGCTAGCGAAGGAAGGCCGGGCTCACACACAAACGAAAGGCGGGCAAACTCGCCAACTAAGTCACAGCCACTTACGGGCACTCCTCGGGCCCGTAACTTAGGCTAAATTTTATGCAAAAATATAAGATTTCAAGCACGGGCAAACGATCAAATATAAAACAGCATTCATTCAAAAAAATGCCCGAAGGAAACAAAGCAAATGATTATAAACCGACCAAGAAGGCCGACGATGTTCATAAAGTACAACCAACGGGCACGCAGGCCCAAAAAATACAAACAAATATCAAAGGCACGCAGGCCCGCTATCCTATAATCAGGCTTCCCCGGAACCATCATTGTCAACGACAGGAGAGTCGGGCGGGGGCACGATCGCGCCATCCACGATCTGATGCGTGTAGCCCGTCCCCTCAGTGACCAAACCAGGGTTTAACAAGGAAAGATGGCCGACTGCGGAGTCGAACCTCTCCTCCAGAGCACCGACGCAATCCGCTTCGAGTAGCCGGATATGGGCGACCAGCTCCGATCGACTCTTCAAAGCCGCTATATCCCCCGGCTCGTCCTCGGCAGGAAGCATGGCGACTTTCATGTCCTCGATCTGTTGGGTCAGGCACCCGATGTCGGTCTCCAGACGATCCCTGTCCGCGCGGAGAAGCTCTCCCTCCTCGGCTAGCTTCCCCGAATTTTCTTTCTCCAGGACCAGCATCTCCCTCTCAGCAGCCAGCAGTGATGCCTGCTCGCGGAACATCTCCTCGGGGCGTTCCAGGGCAGTCCTTAACTTCCGCGAGCTCGAGGTGAGAGCCGCTTTCTCCTGCTCAAGTTCTGCAATACGGACAGGATCCTCCCCTTCCTCGGACAGCACCAGGGCCATTTCGGCCATTTTCACCAGCCCGGCCATGCTGGCGGCCAGGTGCCTCTTCCGATCCTCCTTACTCATCCTCTTGATAGTTTCAGCCTCGTCGGCAACCACGGACAGAGGGAATCTCTCGAAGAAACCCTCCTCTTTGAAGCAAGGGGGGAACCCGAAGGACCTGACGGCGCTGGTGTCCTCGCTGATCGTCGGCCCGCTCTCCACCCGGTTCCTCTTTCTTTGTATCAGGTCGGCATGTGGCTCGACCTCTTGAACCTCTGGGATTTCGTCCGACGCGGCCCCCGAGCTGGGCGATGAATCCACCCTCACCGCCTGAGGAGCACCCGGACTGTGCGGCGGGCCCATCCTCGTTGATTGGGGAGCCTTCACAACCCTCCTGCCCCGCTTCTGGTCGCAAGACAGCTTCAAGAGTCTTTCCCGACGCCCGACCATCAAACCTGCACAATAAAAAACGGGTTAGTGTCGAGCAAATACGCAAATAAATAACAAGCAAAGAAATTCAAGCAACAAACGACCTAGCAGACGAGCAGCCTGCCTGAACGACTGGCACTCCACGAGTGCCTTAGTATCGATGGGGCGGGCCTCAAATGTCGGGTAACCCTCCTCGTCCAAGACATCTTCCCCCTCCCTCGTGGCCCACCGGGCAGGATGGAAGCTGTCGACGAACCGACAAAGAGTGTCGTACGCCTTCCCGTCCTCGGAACACATGTCGCCCGCAGCGGTATGATAGTATCCAGTACCATGCTCATAATGCCTGGACAACCAATGCACGGGGAACTTGGCCGTGCGTGCCATCACAGGATACCCATCGTTGTCTAGGATCGCCTCCCCGTCATCGTCGCTCATCGGGGCCTCCTCTTCGTACAAGGATTCCAAAGCAACCGTGGTAACCGGCCTCACGACATACCACTTGTCTTTGAAACCCCTCACGGAGTCCATGTACATCTTGAATAGTCTCCTCGACTGTTTTAAGGAGACCCAGCTGTGCTTCCCTCCTCGAGACTGGCGCTGCAGATGGAAAATCCTGAAGAAGAGAGGAATAGTCGCTCCGATCCTCAGAAAACGACATGTCAGCTCAAACGCCCGGATAAAGGCGAGCGAGTTCGGGTGTAGCTGCGACGGAGCCAGCCCCAGATGGGCGAAGACCCCGGTCTGAAAATCACTGAAGGGCAGCTGCAGCCCAAGATCTTTGAACGCGATTTCGTACATCGGGAAGCTATACTCTGGGTACACCGAGCAGATCCGGGCATGGGAGGTCGGCCGAGTAACAACGAAATTCTTTTGGAAATCAGGCTGACCGTGGCCCGCCTCGAGGACAGCATATGGCTTTCGGTTACGCCGGCTATAGATCGACGCGATTCCTCTGGGCTCGGCGCCCACCCAATCCAGCAGAGGGTCGTCGACAGTGTCGATCAAACTGACCGCCTCGTCGGCACTTTGTTCCTCGTGTTCGAGGCGTCCAGAGGAGCACGGCTCGTCCACCATGGTTACCTGCAGAGCACGGGAAACCAGTCAATTGGGCACGAAACCATACGCTCGACGTAACGAACCAGATGTGGTGCACGACAAACCACGTCGCTCCAGGCACGACCACAAAAGTCAGTTTGCAACAAAAATAGCAGTCGCCTCCCCGACGTCCGGATAACTCGATGAGACCTTCTCCAAACTGCCTAAGCAAACCGGCAACACGGTCATTCACGAGTAGGCCGACCCAAGGTATGAACATGGCGAGCAACTTCATAAAACCTACGGCCAGAGCCATGAACATACCGGGCACGATCATGAATCAGGCGCCCTGGATCATGAAGACCCCGGGCAGCACTGCAGATTGTAACCTAAACTATGTATCTACCGGCCACGGGCATGTGTTTACCGGTCCTAAGCATGAATATGTCGAGCTAAACATGAATATACCGGGCTAGTCCCACGCGCACAGTCCCTAAATCGTCTACAACAGCGAAAATCATGCATCACAAACAGGAAAACGAAGAAGATAAGTCACTTACTTGCAATCAAAGAGTGAGTTCTGCAACGGAGAAAAAGAATCTGTAACGGAATCGCAGCTATGCTATGAAAATCTGGAAGAACAACAGCAGTAGGAGCGCAAAGAGCAATAACGCGTTATGGGGCCCAAGGATCCTATTTATAGTGATGACGTGGAATACCAAACGTCACCTCGGGCAACCACGGAGTTTCTCTCCCCAACGCACGGCTCCCAAGGCAATGATGACCCTATCATCATAGGGTGGCGGCACAGTTCCCGAAAGATACCCCGTGTGCTCGACATGCGCGCGCCGGTGAAGATTCCCCGAGCATCCACCACGAGGTCTTTGTCTCCGAGCACGACACGGAGAAGCCCTTGAGGAGCTGCATCTCTGACCCGGGCACGAGATCCCGAAGCAGAAACAACCTAAGATCAAGTCATGGCTCCTAACCCAAGGAACCACGACTTGGGGGACTCCTGTTCTGGACTGGGCCCGACAGGCCCAATAACATTGCTAAGGCCCAATCCAAACGGACTTGCTGAGGGCCACGCCGACCAAAGGGTCACAGTCGTGCCCGACGTGCTCCCTGAGGTTACCTACTCGACCTCCGACTGCCCAGCTCGACATCCTGCTGTCCAGCTCGACATCACCTCGAGCACCCTAGCTAGGGCAGACCCAGTCCACTGCACTCCCAACGAGACCCTGAAAAGACCGCGTCTCTGTCCGCCCGCACTTCACGCAGAACATCCAGGGAGGGGACTACGTGCGGGTCCCCACTACGCACGTAGAACCTGGCAGTTTCTCCATTGGGCCAAACCTGCCCGGCCCAATGAAGGAACTTTGGCCCAGCGCTGGAGGCTATAAATACCCTCTGTTTCCAGAGGGTCAGGTATTCATCATTCTACCCATACTTACTATTTGCCTGCTCGTGCTCTTACTTACTTCAGCATCGGAGTGTCTTGCAGGTACCCCCCACCTCGTTCAAAACTTTCAGCTCGGAGGCAGCCGTGACGGTCCAAGTCTGATCAGGTTAGATCAATATGTATCACAATAAATCTCAATTTTATTTTTAAAATATTTAAATAACATAATAAATATAAATATTTAAATGATTGAATATGTAAAATTATTTTACACTGAGAATGTATTATTTTTAAACTCAATGAAATATAATTAAAACTCGTAAAAAATGTTTGTGTCGTGATATATTTAAAAATAGTCAAAGGGAATAGTAAATACAATTTTTTAATACCTACCTCGTATAAACCATTTTAAAATATTTACATCACTTACTTTGTAGTAAAATATGATATTTAACTTTCATGTCTAAATTATAAATTTTCTCGTTATGCTAAATTTATTTTCTTCTTGCTAAACCCTAAATCTTATTTTCTTTATATCAAAATGCTTTTTATTTAAAAAAATAAAATAAATGTACTCTGGATATCAAAATGAAATATAATTAAAACGCACATAGAAAATGTTTGTGTCATGATATGGTTTAAAAAAAAAAAACAGAGGGAATAGTAGTACAAATAGTAGTACAATTTTTTAAATACTTACTTAATATAAGCCACTTTTGACACATAAAATCACTAATGCCTTTGCACTATACTCACATACAAGAAAGCATCAAACCAAGCACATAAAGGAATCTTCTTCAAAACCAAAAGGGCACTTTTGTAAACCAAAACTTTATCATTTTTACTATAAATTCTTGAACCACCACTTCACTTATTTTCACTACCTTCCATAGAGAAACAAAGAGAGATTAATTCTTAGAAAAATTCAAAGAGTGAAAAGAAAAAAAATGAGGCCAATAAATAGTGTATCATCAACAACATCAACAATATCATCAACCAATGTTATCAAGATATGGAAATCACCAATTCCTTATCTATTTGGTGGCTTAGCACTAATGCTCATTTTGATTTCAGTTGCATTGGTGATTCTTGTATGCAACTACAAAAAACGCGGTTCTTCATCGCAATCTTCGAATTCGGATGAAGAAATGAAGCAAGTAATGTCCAAGAATGTTGAGATGATTAATTCCGAGCCTGAGGTACTTGTGATCATGGCTGGAGAAGCTAAACCAACTTATTTGGCGAAACCGATTATCAATTCTTCTTTGCCTTATTGCACGTGCGGAGCTGAATCAAGTTCGACTCGATCATTAGGGTTACCCGATGAGCAAAGGTTGAGTAGTTAAGTTGTTATTATGAGCAACAAAATTTTGGTGAAGTATAGAGAGCACTTCCTTTTCATGTTCAAGTGGTTTTGTGAGCACTTGAATATGATCACTTTAAAATGAGTTTTTTTTTTGTTTTTATTTTTGGAATGGAGTTTTGTTTTTGATAATGAAGGAATTGCGACTTTGCTACTAATTATGTTTTTTGGTTTTTGTTTAATAAAGTTTATGGATATGATTAATAGATTTTTTGTGTTTCAAATTAGTCACCCTAATATTTCAACCTACATAATCATATGTCTTAATTACGTATTAAAGACATCAAATACTTTAATCATATAAGTCTATAAATTCGATCATAGATCAATATTTGATAAAAATATTCATTTGTTAAATATTAGTTCGAATTATCTTAATGAAAATCAGTTATTTCGTCTAGTTATATATTAAATGCAAATGAAAACAAGAAAACTCTTGACCTAGTTTTTTTTTTTTTAATATAAACATATTCTTTTAATTTTGTTATCATTAGATTATGGTTTTGGAATTACATTCTCTTGAACTCAGTCCATGAGTTAAAAAAAGAGAGAGTATAAATTGGCATGTCACATAGAAACAATTAATATTTTCTTTGTGTTTCGATTTAGCATATGATTCCATATGTTTTTTATGTATGAAAATTCCAAGAGAAAGGGATGACGCGAAACGCAGAAGTGTGTGTACTTTGGAAGCAAAAGCAAAATTTATTTTATGAAAGTGGGTCTTCACCAATAACCAAATAAAAATGTAATTAAAGTGAATAAAAGTTCTCCATATTCGAATTCATGATTTTAAGTTGAATGAGTATGAGATAAAATAATGATTGTGATTAAGATATCTATAATGAGATTAAGATAAAGAAAAGAGAAAGAATAATATTTTGGTGGGTTGATGATGAAATTAATCAGCGGCTATCATTGAAGTCCTTAAACCAATCAAAGTCACATAAGAAAATGGTATAATGGATAACACAGCATCTAGGCATGTGGAAGTGGAACCCTTTTGTTTTTATAGCAAAATGTTGCTTTTCATTCACTTTCTATCAGCATTAATATTTTTTGCATTACTCTTCAAATTTAGGCAGCGGCGAAACGCACTTGTTTTTTAATCTCTTTACTCTTTGCCTTTTCTACTTTCTTCTCCATCAATTTTGCCTTTTCTTCCTTTCGTACCAAAAAATCATAACACTGACAAAACATATCTATCATATCTATTTGGATTCTTTAAATATGACTCAAATAATTTTTTATATTATTTCGCACATCTCAATTTTTTAAACAACTCATCTACTAGGGGTGTTCGTGGTTCGGTTTGGATCGGTTTTAAAGAAAAAACTCATCTGATCCAAAGATTAATTCACTTAAGATTCGGTTCGGTTTTGGATGATATATTTTAAAAAATCCAATCTGATCCGATCCAATTTTATGCGGTTTAATTTGGATCGATTTTTGGATATCAAAATTACACATTATATTTTTATTAATATTATAAAACTACTAATAAATCATAGATTTGATATAATATATAACATATAGTATATTAAAAGTTAATATTACAAAATGAGAGTGATTGATTATGCTTGAAATAATAAAAATAAATAGATTATACCAAACTAATAAATATTATTAAAAAAAATATTATCATCTAATAATAAATTCACATAACATGTCATACTAATAAAAAATAAATAAATATCAAAATATATTTATGCAGTTCGGTTTGGTTTGGATCGGTTTTGAAAAATTCATCCGAAATCCAATTCGAACCGATCGGTTTTCATAAAATAACATCCAAACACAACCAATAACTTTCGGTTTTTTATGGTTTTCGGTTTTTTGGATCGGTTTTCGGTTTTTTATTTGGATTGATTTGGATTTGAACACCCCTATCATCTACAATTCTCAAATATCCATTTAACTCATCAAAAAATCTAAAATGGGTCCCACTACACTCCACAAAATCCACTCATATAACTATTTTCAACTGAAATATAATATTTTAATATTAATTATATAGAAAGAGAGTGTAGAAGCGTTCCCACATAAATCAACGCTTGCAAATGAAAGAACGTTTTTTTCTCTAAAATACCTATTTTATTCTAACATCATAATTTAAAAAATTGTGTAGAAACGGCGTATATGTACCGATAATTATGCTCTTAAGTTTAGTTATTTATATTGAATATGATAGAAAGAATGATTTAGTTAATGCTTTTAGTTGTGCGGTAATTGGTTTTGTTAAACGCGGCGACTTGGAATTGCAAATATATGGGCTAGTGGAAGTCTACAAATTGACATTTGAGACATGAATACAGCTAATAAATGTGATTAAGTGAGGATTAAAATATGCAAATTGGGTCAGAACCAAATTGATGTGATATAAAGTAAGGGACACATTTTAATCAATGTTAATTTAATTGGAAAAAATGGAGCCATACTCAACAAAAATGTGAGCTTAATTCCAAAAGTTAATGCAAAAGTCTTATTGATATATTTTGTGAAATTTGATATTTATTTTATTTTTGGTGAGTAAGAATTCTCTCTATTTTCTAAAAAATGGAGGTGTCTATTACAATGATTTTGTATATAAATATATAATTTAAATAAAGGTTCTCTCTATTCATCTTTATTCTTTGGTCTCATAGCTTAGTATTTATCATTTTTAAGCTCTTCAATTAAATTTAAGGTTAAATAAATTTTTTATCTCTTTAAATATTTTAAATTTTATTTTTAGTCTTTTTAAAATTTTCCTTCAAAGAATGATTCTCTTAAAAAATTAAATTTTAATTTTTGATCCCTCTTGTAATTTTTAGCGACGATTTTTGCAACTTAGTGATAGCTCCTAAATTCGACACCCACAACATATTGGTCTTATGGACCAAAAATAGATTGAATAAATCTAAGCTGGAAATACTTCGACAGATGGAAAAATACTTAGAGAAATTTCTAAGTTAAAGTTGATCTTCGACCAAAAGGTTCTTGCGGCCTTCGACTGAAAGGCCTCCGTGGCCTTCGACTAAAAGGAAATCTCGTATCAGCAACAAGTGATTTTGAATCTGAAGAAAGGGGAGAAAAGCAGTTTCCCTGGCAGTTGAGGAAAGTTGTGTGACATGAAGATAGAGGTTGAAGCATATGCAGAGGACACTTGCCCTCATCTTAGAGCAAAGCAGCTCCTCGACGGTCACCTAGTGGTAGTATAAATATAGGAAATTTATGTAGATTTCCGTGTGTTCAACTAATTGTACAAGTCATTCAATACTATTCGAATACCCGCTGTATGAGAAAGAATACTGAAAATGTACGTTTGAAACACCACATTTTATAATGAAAGTCTTTTACATTCCTCTTTACATTCCTTGCCTTTTTATCTTACTTGCAAAAATCTATTTTCCCTTACATTTTACTTGCACTTTTTACCATATTTCTGCACTTAAACTCTTCTCAACCCATTTTCTACTTGCTTTCTACACTCAAACTCATCTCAAACCTCAACCTTTATCAGTCGAACGTGCGTTCTTTATTAATATTAGCATTTATATCCAAACAACACCAATAATTAGCCTATGTCCTAGGATCAAACTGATCGATCCTGCGAGTAACCAAAAAATTACCCTTTTTGAAAGATTAGAGGTTGTTTACCAATCAACACATCAAACACTTAGCGACGGTTTTAGTGACTGTTTTTGATTAGCGACGAAATTTAATTTAATTTTATTAGAAGGAACCAAAAGTTAAAATTTAATTTTTTAAGAGGACCATTCTTTAAAGAAAAAAATTAGATGGATTAAAATTTTTTTTGAGATATTTAGAAAGACCTAAAACTTATTTAATCCTTAAATTTATTAGTTAAATTTCTTGACACGCATTAAGTGATGTTGTTATGTGCTTGACTTCACATGAAAAGAGTGTTAGTGTTGGTTCTTTTCTTGTACATCAAGAGATTGGTGTTCCTCCTACAAAGATTATATATCATGCAGTGGATTTCCTATCATCTAGATCACCACACCAGTTTGAATTTTTGTATCTTGTCATGTTGTAGTTTTTCCTTTCATCTATTGTTAAAAAACAAGTATTCACAATCAAATCTTATACTTAGCCTCACTTATGCTAGACAAAATGTCTTGGATATCTCCATGATTACGCTTATGATACACTACATCGTATGCAAAATTAGGCTTTCTTCTGTAGACACACCTAAATGATCCGATAAACTTTTTGTACTAAGTTAAGTTCACATCATTTTCGTCTATACTCTTTGACAACTGAAGCTTCAGTTCAACGGGTGTTAGTGTACGATTGTAGTACTCATTCTCAAATGAAAAATTTCAATTATCTTCGTCGATGCATCAACATAACTCTAGCAATTCTATGGAGTTCAAGAAAAAATAAATATGAGATGTTGTCAAGATCAGTCATCTTAAATTCCTTCATCATATCATGTTTTAATTCATGAACCTAACTTCCATTGCTTCTTGTGATCAGGAATCCATCCACATTAAAACATAATATGATCACTAATTTGTTTCTATCCTTTATTATTTATACATTATGCTTTGACAAATTTTTTGTAAAGATAGGTTCATTTAGAAATCGATATATTCTCTTATTACATTCTCTTGGTGTTTTCTTCAAGTCTACAATGCTTCTCCCTAACTAACATATTTTTTGGTCATGTTTCTTCACCACAAAACTAAGAGATTATGCAATAAACTCCTATACATCTAGGAGATCATTGTAAAATACATATTTTACATCCATTTGATACATAGATCGATTATTAGTGTTAGTCACGGGAATAACAAGCTAAATTTTTTCAATTATAGGAAATTGTGCAAATACTTCTTCAAAGTTAATATATTTTCTTTAAAAAAATCCTTTTGCTACAAATTAAGCCTTGTATTTAATCGCCCCACCTCTAAGAATCAATTTTACCTTATACACCTACTTCAAACAAATGACCATCTTTCTTGGTGGAAAGTCTAC